ACTAGGTGTGAATGTGCGAATGAATGTGAGTGCGAATGGTTGTCTGTCCCTGTGTGTTGGCCCTGCGACAGACTGGCGACATGTCCAGGGTGTACCCCGCCTCTCGCCCTATGACAGCTGGGATAGGCGACCCTGAAAAGGATAAGCGGAAGCGAATGGATGGATGGATGGGTTCAAATAACACGGTGGCACCTGAATATTGCTCAGAACATCTGGAACGCGAATGTGTCTGTTGTGAACATTCTACTGCCGTGAAAATACTAAAGCACCTGGTTCAACTGCAAAAAACCTTATATTAAATCTCAAATAATCCCTGTACTGTCTCCACAAGAAAAAAGCTGTGGTGTATCTGCAGAGGACTGCTTATTTTACATAAACAATACAAATAGTACAGACAAATGATGTAATAAACACATAAAAGTGGAAACAAGACAGAAGCACATGAAGACCGGCTGACTCTTGACAATGCTATTGCCGGCTGAGACATCAAGGCTTCCAGCCGGCCTTTTTATTTCAATGCCATTTGGTTAAATGTTTATTTTACCAATACTTTTTACAGTATGCGTAATTTTTCTGCAACTTAAGATATTCTTATCAAGAAGTATTTGCATTTGTTGTATAACCTGCTTGTAATTTTTAATCTGACAGGTCTCATGGAGTGAATTTAAGACTGTCTGAGCTTAAGACCTTAAAAGCTTATGATGTCCCCTGGTGGAGACTGCTAATACTTCAACCACATTGGTTCTTGCCCTGTGTTTACCATTTTATGCAACCCCATTCATAAGTAAATCCACAATTTTGATGCTTACAACACAGCGCTGTATTTAACGCTTTGTAATGTTTGCCTCAAGGACAAGCTTGAGGATTAAATCTGTGGTTTCTGTGGCTTGTTTTTGGTAGCTGATCAGAATCATCTAAGTTATACCTGCCCTTACTCTCTGCACTGCTTCTGCACTCAAACAAATTTAAATCAAATTCAGATGTGACATATTCTGTGTATCATGTCATATGATATTTTAAATAGTTAAACACCACTTTCTAGATGTTGACAATACATACCACACTTGTGAGAATCACAATCACTTGTGAGGGTTTTTTTTTTTGCCAATTTCTCAGACAACAAGTCATTAAATTGACCTTGAAGACCTTGTTGGATGTCAGCCATGTGATTTTAATGCATTGTTATCATGACCCACTCTACACTCCTACAAAGTTTTATCAGAATCCATTCAAAACCTTTCGAGTTATCGTGCTTACAGACAGAATGATCACACACACTCCTGCAAACGCTACCAAAAGGACGTAAGAATGGTTTTCTATGAATTTATTTTCAAATCAAAAACTCGTCTCGTCTCGTGGAACTTCGCTAATGTTGACGGTGATTTGGCGCCACCTGGTGGACGTGACGTCACATTGCAGCCGGTGTCTCTGCTGTTATCCTCGATGGCGGTGAGTTCTGCTGCTGTTGACATGAGTGTATTTTTCTGTCTGCCTGTTTTAGGCATAACATTTGAACTGTCAGGCAAGAAATTCATAAATTTGCCTTTAACTTACCCCGTATTTGCTATTTAAGCTTTGACTTTCAAAGAGTCTAACGATGCTTTAAGCTAACCATTAGTCACTCATCTCACACATTATATTTTTGTATATTTCATTATATTAATGTTTTATTTTTGTATTTCTTTGTAATTTCAGTTTACAGTCGGCTTCTTTTTCCTGACTTTAATTGTAAGTAACTAACTGTAATAATCTTGCAGTACTACCTGTTTTTATATTTTACATGTGACTGTTGCATTGTGGGTCCTCATTGGTTTGGCATTTCTGATTCTACTATGTTTGGTCCTTTTCACACCAGTGACAGTAAACATAACCCTTAAATTATAATACAGTGTCAGTGTAAGGCTTCTCTCTGATTTGATATTGATAACAGCTTGCTATTACACTTCCTTGCAGTCATTGTAATATTTAACAACTTACTTCCCCATTTAGTAGAATAGTTTTGATATTGATATATTAGGGGCCTTAACATCATATATATTTATTTATTCTAAAATATATATATTTTTGCTCATTAGCAGGATTGATATGTGCAGAATTAAAGCTATGTGGACTTGAATATGACAAAAATGCAACAGCTCCCAGTGGTAACTTTCAATGGTGTTATTGTTTCCACAATGCAGTGGAAATTGCAAAGCACTGACTCGGAGTGTTAAGTGACCGACCTCAGTGCTGTAGCCTTTCTTCAGATGCCTGTGTTATTTGTGTGCCAGGCTGTTGCATGTCTTCAGCGCTCAGACTTTGGTAGAGGCAGCGCTCGGCGTGTGAAGAATGGTGGGAAATGCAAGCCCCCCACTCCCCCTGCAGTGCACCTTTCTTTAGGATGCTTCTTTAGTACTCTCAACGTGTAGTCTTGACATCATGGGGAAAAAGAGCTACTGAAACCACAGTGGGAACAAACAGCACGTGCATCATATTTCTGTGATGCCTGAATCCACACAGTGGTATGATAAGCTAGGAAAGGAGTTCTGTTTAAAAGGTTAGAGTAGTATTTTATGTTTTAATAAACCAAATTGTGCCAGTTTTGGAATCAGCGAGTTTTAGTCTACATTTTAGATAATAAAGGGGAAACTGTTATTATGTTGCCAGTGTCTGAAGCATAAAAACATAAGAGAAATCGGACAGATTTGTTGCCAAGCATGTGGCGTTCTATTCACATATAGGAAAAAAAGGTGTTTCTTATTTTTGTTTATTACAGTGTCATTTGAGCAATAGCGCTAATTTCAGATTCACAGAGTGCGTCGCATGATCGGAGGGTGACAGGTTTTAACCGGCGTGCCTCGAGCAGAAGATAAGTGAGGAGGGGAAAGAGCAAGTGCTTTATAGGGGGAGAGGGAGGGTGGGAGGGAGTGAGGACAAGCGGGTAGGAGGCTTGGAGAGGGAGAGAGAGAGCGAGAGAGAGAGAGCGGGTGGGCGCTGTGAAATCCGTTAACAGGGGAGCTCTGTGCATTTGTTAGACGTCTTGGCTGCTTGCCCAACTTGGCTCATTGTAATCAAGGCATGATCGTCGACTCCAGCCAGCCCTCTCTGCCGCCACGGCTGCCTTGCGCCTGGACCCAGCCCAGCTCCCAGCGCTGACATGGAAAGACCAGTGAGTGCCTTCTCTCTTCTTCCCCCTCGCTCTCCTTCTCTCTTTTTAGTATTAGGTTCCCCCTCGTTTCCTCTTCTGCTCTGTCGCAGTTTCAGCTGTGTCTCTGGCTCTTTCTCTCCCCTGCTGTCGCTCCCGTAGGTGGCAGGATTGCTGGGTAGGAGGTGGGGGGGAGCCTTGGCAGCTTTCTCCCTACAGGCCGCTTCCTCCCCCTTTTGCCCGTCTGTCCGGGCATGGATGCCATTCGCTGGCAGGGTCTGTGTGCCATTTGATCGCGTGAGGGTGTTAGCTGTGCTGCTGCACTGTCACAGGTCTCCAGGAGCCAGAGGTTTGCCATTTCTGCAAAGATTCTCCCCACTTTTTGGTTCGTTGAAGCCGGCGTACGCTTCACTCTCTGCCATTGGCCTCCCTGAGTATCGGAGTCGACAGCGAGTTTCTCTGTTGCGCCTATTCTTGGTGGTATGTCCTCATGGTCTGTTGTGTTTGGGTACCCTGACAACTAGAAGCAGTGAGGTAACCACTTTCCAGCCTGTTCGCCCCTTTGAATGACTCCAAACTTTTTTCACAACCGCTGAGCTTTTTGCAGGTTCCCAGACGATTTCAGGATATGTAGTTGCCGTCATTTTGCAAAACATCTGACCGATTTGAGAGCTCAGTGTGAATTCAACTATTCAGCATCCCAGTGGCAGCCATTCCTTGCAGTGATGGAAAAAAAACATGAATAGATTCCTTGCGGTCCTCACAGTGAGTCATCGTTATGTGCTAGAAACCTTGACTTGTATGTCGTCAGTGAAGCAGCAGTGGAGGATGACTGACTCACTTTGGCACATCTACTTCCTGTGCATGTCAGGATGGTCTGACCCCTCAGAGTCACTTATGCAGAGTGTGAATAGGACACTTCAAAATGAATTATGTTTTCCTCACAGATGCAAACAAGCAGAAGTGGCAAATTCTCTATTTGCCGGCGTTACTGTCACTTCTACAGAGCTGTGAATAACAACAGATGATGCCAGCAGTGATTCAAAGAGGGAAACATGTAGCTGATTGATTGACAGTGAATGTTGTTCATTCAGATTTAATCCCGTACTGCTGTTTGTGTTTGAATTCTTTCTAAGAAGAAAAATGGTGTTGGCTTGCTATAAGAGAAGAAGTACTGATAATTGAAATAGTCTTGAAATGACAAGTTTGCTCTATTTTTAAAAATAGCTTTGGGACATATTCTATTCTATTGTATTCTATTCTATTCTATTCTATTCTATTCTATTCTATATTTGTGTATCACATCAGCCACACTCAAACTTGTGCAGGACTTTATTGTGTCTTTTATTTTAAATTAAGCCACGGTTTACAAAATCAACACAATGTTGTGCTACATAAGAGTTTAAGCAAGCAATTGTAACAACAAACTCATATTTGTGACCTACATTTAGGTCATAAATAAATGGATTATTTGGATCATTTTCTCACAGACTTCTATATAATTTGCCTGATTTTGGAATCGTCCCCCCAGTGGCGATGAGAAAGATTGCACTTTGCTTTTATCAGATTCTGAGGCTATATCCTCGAATTACTGTTTGCTTTAAAGAAGGTAGCGTAGCCTCTTTTAGCCGCTGGGCTCCAGAGGAGTGCTCCTGTTTCACCAGTTTTCAGAGCTACACTTTGGACCCGGGAGGAAGGGAGGGAGGGAACAGGAGGCTAAGCTGCTGCAGGTTAAAGGAAATTAGCTCTTTTTCATGCAGAAATCTGATGCTTCACTGTCGCTGCTCTGTGAACATCTGTGCACATTTAAGAGTCCTTTAACTTAATGCCTGCCCTTGCTTTTACAGTTGCAGTTGGTATAATATGATAAAGTGAGGTTCTCTCTGAAGGAAGCAGGTTCTATGAGAGCACATGGAGCACATTTTCAGTATGGAGCCTCTATTTGTGCCCTGCTGATGGCATTGGGGTATTTAAATTTGGTCTGCATATGCATTCAGCTCGTGTAACTGAGCTTCATGATGAATGCTCCATCTGTGGTGGGTGTGAGGATCTATCAGTGTTATTAGTGTGTTATTAGTGTGCACACTGCTGCACACTGGTGTACACAGGTGCCTTTTTAAAATGATTGTCAGTCTAGCTGATCAGCTGATGGTTACTTCACTTGTCAGCCTTGGTTTCTCCACAGCTTGTAAGCAGGTTTTATATTGTTGCAGTTGCTTATTTAAATGTCATTGTAATTATGGTCAAACTCACAATATATACAGAAATACAAGAATAAAGTTGAGTGCTGAATGTAGGCATTTTGTTCTTTATTGATAAATGTGTCTAGAAAAATAAATATCAAATTCTTTACACTGCTAAAGCAGATGTGTATGGTTTGGTTTGTAATCGTATTTGCTCATTGCTTAGTATAGATCAAAAGTTTTTCATTTGTAGACTATTTTTTGTGGTGCAAATTAAATTTGTTAAGTAATAAAAGTGTTTCACACACACACAAAAAAAACAGCTTGTTAGAAACATTGATGATTCTCCATGGCTCTGCAGTAAAGTGGTCCAAGTGCTAAAAGGCATGTAGGCAGTTAAAATAGAGTCAAGAGAGTTTATGGAGGTCTCAGTGGAGTCCTTTGAAACTTGTACGACAGTATTTCAGTTAGAGGTCTGGACATTGCTACAACACCTTGGTTCTTTTACTTTTTTCAGCCATTCTGTGGTAGATTTGCTGCTGTCTTGTTGCATGAGCTTTATAGCTTTATCTATCAGACAGATGACCTCACATTTGACTGTAGAATTCCTTGGTATATAGAGGAGCTTGTGGACTTCAAGGTGTCCAGGTTTTACAGCTGAAAAACAGGCCGAAATCATCAGCCCTCCACCACCGTACTGGTACGTGCAGTTTTGTATTATGGCCAAACATCTCCACACTAATCTTGCCTGTCCAAAAGACATTGTTTCAGAGGTCTTGTGGTTTGTTCAGATGTAGCTTTGCAAAGCTAAGCTTTGCTGCCATGTTCTTTTAGAGAAAAGATGGCTTTCTCCTCTGTACTGTCACAAACTTTAACTTTTAACATGTTAACTGAGGCCTGTGGTGTCCCAGATGAAGCTCTTGGGTTTTTCTTTTGTATTTTTTCTGAGCATTGTATAGTTTGATCTTGAGGTGATCCATACCAGCTAACGGCCAAAAACCCTCTGCTTCTATAGAGGTGGACACATTTAGTGATGTTCTTTTTAATCTAGTGCATTTGATTGGCAGCAGCTGGATTCTACTTGTAATTTGTGGGGAAGCAGTAAGTGTTCTTTTTCACACAGCTGTGTTTGGAAAATAAGAAACCTTTCACTGTCAAAATGACTGCAATTTGTCTCCTAGGTTCCCACACAGATGTTTAAAGAACAAGTGATGCAACAAAGTGGTAGACTCCTTTGTTCTTTTAGGACTCCTGTCCTAAAAGAATTGTGAAACCTGTTGGATGCATGAACTTTAACATGAGACTGGGTTATTTCTGAGCTTGTGCCATATCATTTCATATCATATCAATGATCATTTCATTCTGTTTTATATAAATTTCACACGGCACCCCACCTGTGAGAAAACCAGGTTTAATGAAGCCATAGAAGCCTCAAAATAAGATCAATCCGATGAAATGTAAATGTTTTTATTTTTCTAGTGAATACCTATAAATGTCTCATCCCAGACCTCCAGTGACATGATGCCCAAGAGGGATCATGAGAAGGACCTGGAGCTGGACAAGAAGATTGAGGCTCTCCGCAGGAAGAATGAAGCTCTTATGAAGAGGTACAAGGTGAGAAGAAGTCTTCACATATAGAAAAGCTTCTGAGGTCTCATGTGTGGAGCTTGCAACTCTTTCAGGTTTCCTAATTACTTTATTGTTTGTAGGAGGTAGAGGAGGACAGAAAAAGAGCAGAAGAGGAAGGAATGGCACTGCAGAGCCGGAAGGGCAAAGCCGACGATCTTACCATCACAATCAGCAAGTCCACTAGTGTGAGTGTCAGCGAAAATAATGATAATAATAATTTTATCTTTAATTCAAAATCCCAACACGTCTCAGTTTTACCACCTGAATAAGAAATGCTGCTCTATTTAATAAAGCAACTCTATCAGCTTGACTCTTTGGGCTTAAATTTAAAAAAATACATGAAATAAGTTAAACTACAGAAAAAGTTCTGGTACATCATTCCTCAAGTGGAAAGTTTTGTTAATGTGCAAAAAAAGAAAAAAACAGGAATTTCTGTTATTAAAATGTTTATTTATTACTTTGGTGTTGTATGAAAGACTGTGGGGGAGGTCTCCATCAGTAGGAAATGCTGTACAATTTATGAGAATACAATTAAAAGGAAAATATTTATGTCCTCCTTCACATTTTTCAAAGATGTCCAGTGGGCCGGTTTAGAGTCTCTGCTCCCCCCCCGCCTTATATTCGACACCCCTGGTTTTTAAAAAAGCTACATTAACTAATATCCCACAGTGTTGTCTTTGCATTTGATAGAACCCATCTGTTCTATCAAATGCTGTTAACTACATCAATATTTCATATATTTCATAGACTGTCCTTTTCTTTGATTGGAAGCAGGATAGTCGTGTGGTGGTGACAAAGCCATTCAGTGGCGGTTCACCAGCTGGGAAGGGACAGCAGGAAGCCGGACCTGACAGAGGGGGGGAGACTCCTCCACAGACTGCTGGCCGAGGACACAGGAAGCAACTAACAGTCACCATGGCTGGCAAAAAGGTAAATTAACTACAAGGAAAAAGTGACGAGGACCCAGTACAGGAGAGCCAAAACCCCTGTAGCTTAAAGTCTAGTTATATTGTAACAAGGAAGAATGTCACAAAACGTTTTTAAAAAGATCTGTAATTTAAGAATTACAAATATTGCTGGTAGTTTTTTTTTTTCCATGAGCTCTTCTTGCATAGGCAAGAATGTGCATCCAAAAGAGTGTTGGCGCATTTAAAAGACTCTGGATCTCTACTCTGTAAACCATGGGATGGCTGTGTGGGAAAATCTCAATGGACTTATTGAACAATGAGGTGGAATCATTTCATAGCAGGATGAAATAGATCTCTTAGAACAACTTTCTAAAGATGTCCCTTAGAAGTCTTGGAGCCACACCGGGCCAGCAAATCAAAATATAACACAACAAAGCAACTGGATCTCCATCCATCCATTCATCCATACATCCATACAACCATCCATCCATCCATCCATCCATCCATCCATCCATCCATCCATCCATTCATCCATACATCCATCCATCCATCCATCCATCCATCCATACATTCATCCATACATCCATACATCCATAAATATCTAATTCAGAGTTGGTTTCTCCTTAACCTAACTCAGTGAGAGGTCAACATGCTTTAACCATGTATCCTTAGTTCACATGCTAAATTGACACCAATCTGCAGCTTGTATTTACCATGTTTATTGTACTATTTAGTATAAAATAGAGATGGCACGATACCACTTTTTTATGTCCGATACCGATACCGATATCATAAATTTGGATATCTGCCGATACCGATATGAATCCGATATAGTGTGTTTTTTAATCAATAAAACTGTTTTTTAATATTTCCTCATTTTGTATAAGTTCATACTCAAGTTTAAATAAACAACAACACTAAAGCTATTCTGTTATACCTGTATGTAAAAAATACACTGCACCCAAAATATTTCATAGTTCAGCAACACTGATCAATCTAATAAACTTAAACCTACTCCATCCTCCCTATTCTGGTATTTTAAAGAGTACTTAGCAGAAATATTAAGCAACCTAACTAATAGGGTTGCAAACTCCCAGCAAAAGAAAATAGGGAACCACCCTCCACCTCCTGATTCTTAATCGACGTAATCAACTTTAATTTGATGCAGTGTGGAAAAAAAATGCACAGAAATAAATTATTTTTCAAGAAATATTAAATAGATTTAACATCTTTATTCAACAGAATTGCAGACTGCACAGATGGTATTTTCCCAAAGGAAAAAGTAGTATAGCTTACTAGGGTATATTAGACTTAACAGTTACTATATACAGTAATGGACTTCTATATATTTTACATCAGATTAAAACTTTGGGTGTAAGATTCAGATAATTATTTATTGAAAGCTGGACATTTTAAATGAGAATAAGAAAGAAAAGTATGTCTTTGTTCCCCCTTTTCCCTGTTCATGCCCTATCGGCCCCCCTGGCTAAACTTTGCTAGATCCGCCCCTGCACAGTTACCAGCCGTCAGCTACATAGAAAAGGATCCTGGTGTAGAAAGTAATATTAAATAAATTCTAACAACAGCTTATCAAGCTTAAACGTGCTGCTGTTGTTTAGACGCTGGTTTCCTCTTTCTGGTGCAAAGTGGGCCAAAAACAAACAAGAGAGACGGACTCACGACAGAAAAGCCGATCAGCTGATCATTGATCAGTTTCATGATTGAAGTAGCAGCAGGAGAGGGAGGGGGAGAGAAGAGGCAGTCGCTCCATATATCGGTTGTTAAGCTTAACGTGGGAATGCTTTACAAACATTCAGAGATGAACTTACACACTTGCTTTACTTCTCTCTGGGATAACTTCCTCGGAGATGAAATGCCGGTTTGGTAGCGAGGCTCCAAATACACACAGCTGCTCTATCACGTGAGCATACTGCTCCCACGTGCTACGGTTATGAGCAGTTACCGCGTGTCGCAAGTTTTGTGAGGTGCTTTTTTGATATTTAACGGATTGGATTACATTTTTTATTTCTCTCCGATATCCGATCCAGTAATTTACGTCAGTATCGGACCGATACCGATACGTAATATCGGATCGTTCCATCTCTAGTATAAAATAAGACATGCTGATTGGGTCATTCATTGGCTAATTAGGGCTAAAGTACAGCTGAGACTTATAGTTAGTTTTCAATGAGATAAAATGTAGTGATGGTGCTAAAGTTGGGGACATCACAAAAATGAGTCAAATTTTTAAAGTGTATGAATGACTTCATCAAACCCACAAACTAGTGTCTAAGTACTTGTAACTAAGAATCCTTAAATGAATGTTTCAAAATGTAGTGCAGAGCACATACTGACACTTATTTAATGCTAATAATATGAGTAACTGACTCTCCAGGGTAAGAGGGTGGTGAGTGAGAGGCCTGAGAAGAGGCCGGGCCCTGTGGACGTCAAGAGCCCCGCCGATGATGGACAGGCGAGGCGTGTGGAGTCAGCGGGGAGGGCGAAGCAGCCATCTCACATGACCAAAAGAGACTCAGCACCACAGGTCCGACTCACACACACACCGAACACTCCTGCCTGCTTCCACTCTCACTCCCTCCCCCCTCCCTTTGTTTATTCTCACATGCTGCACCGACGTGTTTTACATAGATATGAGACATGTTGTCTGGCCCATCCCCTCCATCCCTGTGATGGAGCATAATGGTTTGTTGACAGGAGGTGGACCGGGGCTGTGACTGACTGGTGTGAGATTAGGAAAGGAGAGGGTGGCTAATAGAGCTGTGGGTTGAACAGATGCTCTGCATAACTAAGTTTTCAACCTTTTTGAGCTGTTTTTACACACTTGCTGCAGTTCTGATCTTCTCTAGATGTCACTCGACAAAGGTACGTGCGAAAAATTAAATTCAGGCAACTTCCTTGAGTAAACCGCATGAAGAATTTCCTGTCATCTCCTGCTGTGTGTTTCACGTGTGAAAGGGAAACTGAGGAATATACCTTGACCTGAATCTCCCAAAATCATCCACAGTTAACTTTTACAAGTTACTCCGGTTTGCTTGAGATGCCATATTTAATGCAGGCAGGGACTCGTGTGCCCCTGCCATCGTCTGTGAAATGCAAAACTGTCACTGACCTTAGCCCCCCCTCCCACCCCCCTGGGTATGCAGAAAGTCTGGAACAGCTGCTCTGCCTCAGTCTGAGGCCTGACGCAGACACTCACAGACTGAAATAAATAAGCTGATGCACAGGCAGCTGATCCTCGCCACTGTAAACACAGACACAATCTGGTCATAGGGTGGGGATAGGGGGGGTGGGAGGGAGGGGACATGAAAGCAGGAGTTGCAGAAGTACAGGTTTAGTCTAAAATGTGCATCTCTGCTACCGATTGGCCGATACACTAAGTGCTGCTCACTGGGCCGTCTGGATTAATGTGCACTGAATCTATGGGCTGAACACATTGTTCTTTTTGCCTTTATTTCTGGCCCACTAGGTCTGTGCGCCGCCCCCCCCCCCCCCCCCCCTCCCCCATTTACCATGTGGACTGAATCAGCACTTCAACAGTAGCCAGGGCTCCAGTGCACCAGTCATCTGTGAATCCCAGAGACCTGGTTTACGTAACCAGTGTCATTTCACTAGGTTTATATGACAGCAGCGGGGGAGAAAGCTGCTAAAGGGTGATACCGTAGGAGAACATACCATGGATCCATCTGGCAAGCTTTAAAAAAATATTTGTGTTGGTTCACGCTGAGGTGCACATTGCTACTGCACTGCCCTGCCTCTGAAATAATTATCTGATGGGTATGGGTGTGTGTGCGACAGAGCGAGAGACACCCAGGAAATAAATAATGACTCTTTGAGAGACAGGGGTGTGGCTGTGCAGCGGTGTCTCATGCAGCCTGGAGGAACCTCATGACCAGACTGCTCACGCTCACGAGAGAGAGTGACAGGGGTAAGGAAATGCAGTCGGACGGAGAGGAACAGAGGGGAGGGTGAGAGAGAGAGAGCGAGACACTTGGCAACCGTGCCATCTGTTTCAATCTCCCCTCATTTCTTTTTCCTGAAACTTTAAGTGGTCCACACTCCTCTGGCACGATTGTTTCCCTATTCCCACCATCCTGAAAGGGCCGATTTGATCTAATTAACATTCAACTGCCTTCTCACTCTGAAAAGGCTCATTATGCTACCGAAGAGACAGACCTGGCAAGGTGCCAAGAAAAAGGGAGAGGAAGACGGAGTAGTGGGATGAGAGAGAAAAGAGGTACCCGGGGGTCTTTGTGTATGTGTGAGCTATACTCTCTCTGGATGTGGGCGTGTGAATGATCGTGTGGGCGTCCCAGCCCGTAGGTGTGTTACCAGCCCACTCGCTCTCCCCGGTGCCTATTGTCCCCCATCCTCTCTCAGCTGTTAGAGTGTTGCTGTTAATAGCAACATGACTCATCCTCTGTGTTCACCAGAGCGCATCATTGAAATCAGAACTACACCAGAATAGAAATTAGCACAATTCTGTACCTCTAATAAGCTGTGTTTGATTTGCAAACCGCCAGGTGGTTTCCAAGGTCAGCTACCTGCTAACTGCAGTCTGCCCCTGTGCAGAGTGGACAGAAATTACATTATAATTGAAGCTGTTGTGCCAAGTTGTGCCATTACACTTTAAGACCACTGGGTGGCAGTCTAGACCTCCCAGTCTTTCCTAATGGATGAGTCAGTGGCCTGATTGTGACAGCAGCAAAGCGATTCTTTACAACCGTGTTTAATTAGCGAGCAACAAGTTGCTGTGTCACACTTATAACTGCCAAGCTCATCTTTTAATTTCTCCTCTCTGACAGGACGAGGTCAAACAGGGGCAGAAGCACACTGAGGAGCATCACGGGGTGCCAGAGCAATGCCAGGTAAATTAAAAAAAAAAACCCTCATACACAGATGTAAACATTTAGATGCTGTGTGTCTAACCTCTCTCAGCTCAAAGGACTGCAGTTTCAGCTCATCGTGACCACGTAATTTGCTGATGATCAGTCTGTGAAAACAAGGTTTTCACCAACACTACGTTAGCATACAAAGCGCAGAGAATAGCAAATGCAAATATGCGCTCTGTCCACATCACAAACACACGCAGACAGCACAACACGTTGCCATCCACGTGCCCCTTTTCCTAGCGCTTCTTCCCATATGCCTCCCGCTGGCTTGCATGTCAGCCTTGCTGGAGTAGCTCAGAGCTGTCTCACAGATCTGGCGTGCGATAAGTAGACTGACTGGGGAGGCAGGAAGGATTGGCTTCAAAGGCACGGCGGATTCTCCACATGACAAGTGATGCTGTTCATGCCTCTGGCTGCTGCAGTCCTGGCCTACACAGATTTCAAGGAAATACCATGTAGATTTTTTTTTCTCATCATGTTGTAAAGTGTGTTACACTTTTGTGTAACAAATATACCATATGGACCTAAATCAGTGCAGCTTTTGGAAGCTCAACCGTCACTGAGAGTAATTTTATGATCTCAGCAACTGGGCAGGTTCACTTTGTAATATCCAACATGCCTTCTTTGGCTCCTGGCAACATCCCATTGAGTCCCCACAGAGGCAAAAAATTAAAAAAATATTTAATTAGCAGCTGGGGCGGCAGCAGATCATGGCCTGTTGGAACATGTGAAAACCGTCTTCCCGTGTGACCCCTGATGTCCTCTGAGGGCCAGCGCAGAGCAAGGAGAGACGAGGTGGAAAACAGGATGAGGACAGATGCCATGTTCTGCAATAAGTGTAGGCAGGAGGGCAACATGTTTACTTCGATTTGATTGGCCCTCACCTGAGGGGAAAACATGACCTGTCATAGCTTCTTACCGGCACTGTGTTGCATCTCTTTTTCTCTCACTGTTTTAGCTGCTGCTTTGAGCTTCAATGCAGATTTTTATGGTCATTCCTGGTACTCAGAAATCCAACAAATGTATTTTTTTTTCTAGACATCAGCACGCTCTCAGAAACTGCTGGTCTTTTTCGTGACATCTCTAGTCTTGGTTTGCTTGAAGGCTTTATAACACAAGCATTAGATTGATTGTCATATTAACTGATTTTTTTATTTATTTATTTTTATTTGAATTTTATTGAATTTTATTTTATTTTATTTGTATTCTTTCACTTATTGTTGCATGTGTGTTGTTGCTGCCTGTGTTTGAGTAATTTCTGTAACTGTGAGACACCTGCTGCTGCCTATCTTGGCCAGATGTCCCTTGAAAAAGAGGTTTTTAATCTCAATGGGATTTTCCTGGTTAAATAAAGGTTAGGAAGCAGCTTCTGCCCTTTCTGATGTGTTTATGAGCCTGTATCAGATCTCCTTTTACTATTAGACAGCAATCCTCTCTGCTCTCATCACAGTAATCAATAAATAGGTTAAGAGGGGAATGGAGGAAGAGCTTCTAATTGTATTTGCTATAAACTGTACTTTTCCTGGAACACTGATCAGTATTTACCCAGGGAGGCAGTGGTTAGCACTTAAAGTTATGCAAAATACATCAACGTAGCAGAAATACACACATTTGTGGTTCCCACAGATCTGTACATGTATCCATTATTATGACTTTATACACTGAAATGCTGTCTTTTGCATGCACATAGGATATCGAGAACCTGCAGGCCATCACAGACCTCAACGTCCCCACATCGAGAGAGGAGCAGGAGGAATATTTAAGGTGGAAGAAGGAGCGTGAGCAGATTGACAGGGAGAGGGTGGCGCGCCATAAAAATGCCAAGGGCCAGTGGAGACGAGCGTGGGACATGGATAAAACTGACAATATGTAAGACTTTTTAAAGAGTTAAAGGTTTACATTCATATTCCCATTGGCTGTAGTTGTTAAAGCTGAAGGACTAAAAAAGAAACAAAATAATAACATTTTAAACCAAAATATGGTAAAATATGAAGTTCAGAGATCAGTGAAATACTGTGGAGCTGATTTTCAGACACATCCTTGTTCTAGCACACCTGAATTAAATGAAGGGCTTGTTACCAGGCCTTTGCTAAACTTGATTGCTGAAGAAGTAATTCCACCATTTGATTCAGCTGTGCTGGAGTAGGGATGCATCTAAAAGCTGCAGGACGGTGGCTCTCGAGGACTGGAGTTGGAGACCCCTGATTTACAGGATGAGTAGCTGCATTTTGAACCGTCTGTGACTGAAAAAGACTAGAATTGGGTAATCCTATAAATGGGGAGTTACAATAATCCAACTGGGAGGTGATTGAGGCGTGGATAACTGTTTCTATATCTGTAATTCTGTGATGGTTTAAAGCTGCTGTTCACAAAACTACTTCTTTGTTTGTTAGAGGTTGAACTATCCAGGATTTTTAGTTATAGTTTAACTATAGCGCTTGATAAGCCAAATAAAGTTTTGCTGTCATTTAGTTGAAAATGTTGCCAGGACTTGAGGATTCTAGATTGTCCAAACAATTCAACTAAATTGAGTTTTATTTATATAGCACCAAATCACAACAACAAAGAGAACCCCAACGGTCAGACCACCCACTGTGAGCAAATACTTGGCAACAGTGGGAAGAAAAAACTCCCTTTTAATAGAAAGAAACATTATGCTTCGTAAAGAGAGTCTAGGGGTAACATGTATAATGAAATGGAGGTCAAGTAAGTAGTATAAATTCCTTTAAAGAACAAAAAAGTCCATGTTGGGTTTGGAGGTTGAACAGTTTACTGTCACTTTTAAGAGAAGGCTTTTTCAGCACTAAGATGCAGTACCATGCATGCTAAAAATGGTCTTATTAGCACTAAGGCCATTTTTTTTAAGTTATTAGTTTTGTAGATTTCCCCTTTTCACTTTTAAATTCTTCCTTCACTGAAAGGCTCACTTCACTTAGGCAGATGAAGAGGAGAAAATAACCCCGGAGAACATTTTGCCTCTTTGTAGTTAAATTATTCAGTGAAGAATCCATTAGATGAGGTTTCTGGATGTTGTGCATGTTCTAACACATGATCGCAAGGCTGATTGTCACCAAGTCACAGGACGATGTTACACAGCTAAAACATTACCAAACAGTTACTTATGTATGCCTAATATAACATTTTTCATGTGAAGGAGTTCATGAAAAATGTTATATGCTACATTTCATACAGCGTTGCAGGCTGCTGCCCGCATTGGTGGGGGAACTCACACGATAGCACCCCAAACTGACCGCGGGAAAGAAATACAACTCGTTTATTGTGAACTGTTTGTTAGATTTCAAACAAACTGAGCTGTGGCTGTACAAAGACTGACCAAGTTGCAGAGTAAATTAATGTGCTGTTTAGGGAAGTATCCAAATGTAAAGGCACAAGGAAAGAGCAGCTATTTTTAGCTGGGGGGTAAGGGATGGAAATGCCTTGCCTTATTTGGCGAAGCATTAACAAGGCTCCCGAGAAAGAACAGAAGAGGAAATGTGTTTTTGATTAGACAATTTACGCGGTTTCAGAGGATGTCGAATGTAGGAATGGAATCTCTGCACAATCTTAAACTCTAGGCCAACAATAATGTCAGGTGATATACTGAAATGGCCATTTATGTTGTGCAGATGAGATGTTATAGTGCCTGAGGGGGAAAAAAAGATGAATGATTTTGGAACATGATAAAGACATTAGTCACACTGGGTTTTGTTACTGTCTAAAACTAAACCTCTGCTTCTAGGTTTTCAGACAAATCCCTCTCTGACAGAGACTGGGGGCCTTCCAGCAGAGGTAAGACAAAAGACACAGACCTTACTGAGAAAGGAGTAAGACGCTTCATAACAAATCATAAAAAAGACATATCACATTGCTGCAGGAGGAAGAAATGCTAGAAGAGGACCCAGGGCAGGCAGCGATTCAAAAGGTATTCCCCACATAATTTAGTGAACAGTTAAATCCCATAAAATACTCCTATAGTGTTTAGACTTTTAAACTTTTGGTATTTTTCTGACCTAGCTCATGACAAGCGAGGCAAAGACAAGGGAGCTAAAAACGTGCAAGTGATGAGCAGTAAAGCAAAAGGCAAAGATCGCCTGACTGGGCGGGCCAGAAGGTCAGTAACTGCTAAACACAACGGGCTGCTGGCAAAGGTGATTCAACCATCAGAGCGTTTTTCAACATAGCTTCAATTAGCGGTTACGAGAAATGGCATGACTAATGCAGTACGTAAAACGGATGTGGAAAGAATTGTTGCTTTTCTGCACTGTGCCCTAATGTACAAATTCCCCTGGATGTCATGAGACTTAATTTAGAAGTGGTGGCAGCTGACTAAATAACCCAGAAGGTCGCATTATGTCCCCCCGTCCACAGTTTCTCCTCTGCTGTGAAACACCACTTGATGGTGAGGATGCAGCCTGTTGACATCACATTTTGAGGTCGTCTCAGATTGCTTAGAACCCCATCAAGTACTAAACAAGTACCTGGTACTAAGTACTACACCTAATGAGAAAACCCTAAAAACCAAGCTGAGCCGATCTGAGTAGGAGCTGGTGGAAAAGGCCATGGGTGCGCTGTAATGCAATCATAATGTCCAAAATATCCACAGCCACAAAGCTGAAAGTGAGGCACTGTGTGGACTTGGAGTGAGAAAGATTATTTTATGTCTCTGTAAAAGTAGGTAAGGGTAAGGATTTTGGGGGGGGGGCTCTGTAAAACAGCACTCGGGTGTGAGATTCCTGTTATCAGGCTGTGCTGCTGTTACAGTTGGCAACAGATTTGAGTGTGGGCAAAGGCAGCCCACAGGCCACCAAAGCCATTTTCACACATACACTGCAGCTCTATGTTTCTGGATATTATCCAAATGGAGGTGCGTGTCAGAACTTTAATGTCTGATGTAGCTGAATTAAACATGAAACAGTGTTAAACAGTCTTTAGCTCACCAGTTCCTTAGTACAAAGTTGGTGCGATTTCCTATCGCTGATGTGAGGGGAAAAAGGGAAAATGTAATAATCGGCTAAATTCACAGCTAGCAAGTGGTCATCTCGTGCTCTGCTGCATGCTCTACCCTTACCTAAAACACACAATATCCAGTACTGAGTCTACATGTGACAAAGGGCAACTGAGGACAGTGTCCCAGCCTGAGTCTCTTGACACTGTCTGGAGTTCATGCATGAAAAGCCATTACAATCACAACAACTGAGACCGGTGTGTGTCTGTGCCTCGGAAGGCTGAGCCCCAACCTCAAATCACAGCTCTTGCTTTCTACATGTCCTTGGACAATCACCCGATATGACTCCCAGTGGTCCATCACCTTTCATGGTGTAGTCATTGGTTTCTGAGCATGTATGTGACTGAGAAACAAATGCTGTTATAACACTTAAATGGCCTGCAGCAGCCTCGTCTGACCCATCAGGTCATACATGTGGAATCTCTGAGGGCGACCCGTAAATAGGGCTTATTGCTGCACATCCCACAGATGCTCAGTCAGACCGTTTGAAGGCTAACTGAGGGCTTTGTGCTCTTTTAATGTCAAAGAAAAAAACTAGTCCTGAACTGTTTTTGCTTTGTGGTGTGACATGTTGTCCTGCTAAGGGTGAGATGCTGTGGTGCCATTGTAGAAAGCTTGTGGGGGTGTGCTTCTTCTGCGGTAATGTTTAAGTGGGCGGTATGTGTCAAAGTACCACACGAATGCCAGGAACCAAACTTTGCCAGCTGAACGTTGCATTGTGGTAAAATGATCTGTGTTATTTACTCTTGTTGCTGATTGTTATATACAATATTACAGCATGCTATAACTTGCAAAGAAAAAGAGATTCACAACGCACTGCTTTTTTGTTTCTGAATACCCTTTTTTCAGATGGCAGGCAAATGATGATGGAGAGAACCTGCAGGTGAGAGGTGAAACCTCTTTTGACCCTGCTATAAAGTGAATAATAAAAGACATCCATTTAGCAAGAAACACTCCTGTTTGTCGCTTTGATCTCATCTTTTAGATGCCTGAGACGACGCTGGAGGAATTCCTTGAGGAACTTGACGCCCTCACAGACGCTAATGCAGACGAGCTGAAAGATCAGGACGCAAAAACAAAGCAGTCACCGAGCCCGGATTCACTGAGCACGCCCGAGGAAGCGAGTGAATCAGCAGCTTCTGTGTCGGCTGCTATCCTTAGAGAGGACACCCCGACTCAGGAGAAGGCAGAGGCTTCGTCCTCTCGGGGTTTGGAGAAGAAAGTGCGCTTCTCTGAGGAACTCATCCAGGGGGCTCATGCAAGGCAAACCACGGGGTCTCAAGAGTCAGAATCCAGAGGTCCCAGCTCTTTGAAAGCTTCCTCACCTAAAAAGAACAAGCATGAAATGCAGAGGCCACATCAGCCTCTTGAAAGTGCCAAGCAGGATGATGGGAGTCTTCAGGATAAAGGAGGTGGGCCAGCTGCACCTTCTTTTGCACAGCAGCAGGGATCTGAAACTGATTGCACTAAAAAGGACAGCAGCCCACCCACAGCTCCCAGCTCCCCCCCTGCTGAAAAAGCCTGCACCCCTCTACATGAGATCCAGCCTGTGGAGCTTCCCAAGTGCAACATCAGCAACACAAGCACGGGTATGCCTGAACTTCAGCGAGCCTGATTTTTTTTATTTATTTATTTATTTATTTTTCTCCTGGCTGCGTGTGTGGATGTTCCAAGTAAACTAACCATGCTTTTGTTTTCACAGAAGAGCTGATAGACTCTGGTCTGTCTGTTCTGAGCCTGGAGTCTGGAGAAACACACCCAACACACTCCGCCAGCAGTGACAAGGTCAGTGTGAGAATCAATAGATGTGCAAATGGAGGGAAGTGCAAATGGATGGGGGTTTAAATGGATGAGGAGAGCAATATATCTGCACTGCAGCTGCGTATTGTCCAATTTTAATTCAGCCCCTCTGAGTCTTGATGGAGTCCAGGAGAAATAGTCTCATGAGAATGGTTTTTCATTTCATCTTCCACCTGAACAGATAATGTAAAATACAGAAAGTTGCAGTTGGTAATTTTTTTATCCTTTTCTCTCTCTCTGTCTTTTTTGTTTGTTTTTGCAGGCACGAGAACATGGGAAAATTGTTTAACTGACGTTTTCTGGATATAAACACTGAAACCAAAACACAGCATTTGGATGCATTATTTTTGCTTCAAAGTAGCTCATTTGCAATACTGTTTATAGCTTACAGGCAAAACTGTGGTTTAATTTTGTGGGAGCTGAATTTTTGTCTCAAATGTGACACATGAATGGTGAGACGCCTTTTTCCCGCTCAATTATTAGTATTATTATTTTTTTAACATCCGAGCACTTTATGTGTACAAAAACATGTGTACTGACATCTCTTTCTGTATGGAAGTACGCTGCTTGAGTGCAATATCACTGAATGTTTACACATTTGTATGAAAATGTTGAGGTACATATCAGGAGGCTAGCTAATCGGTTAAATTTAGATAGCCCTTGACATTAAACCAAGCCACAGTCTAATTACTTAGTGCCTGATTCTGCCTTAGAGGTATATTTTTTTAATTTATTTAGCTTATTTAGCAGGGACGATGCACAATAAATATATTGTACCGGATATAGCTAAAAGCTACTTTTCAGCTGTAGTCCCTGAGTAACTTTTCAGTAACTGAATAAAGATTGTAATATATGACGATACATAGTTGCAGACCTCCAGTAGAGTTTTTATTTCTACATTTAAAAGTAGTAGACAAATAGATATTATTTATTAACTGCTTCCAGCATCCATAAATAGCCTTTGGGAAGTATGAAATCGGTATATTGTTAAAACGCACATTTGAACCCTAATGTCTTTGGCCAGTGACCAAGACAGTCTAAAGTTTACAAAATGTTACTACTGACATGCTGTAAATGTTTCTGCTATTAAGAGCATTGAAAGGAGCACGCCACTGATTTTTGATATCAAGACAGGAGCCTGATGATGTCATACTCTAGTTAAGATTATCTGAATTTGGAGATGACAGCTTTGCAGTCATGAAACCTCACAACTCTGCCCATAAGTGGCAGAAATCTACTTGATTTAAATTTGGCCTTTTTACTTATCGAGGTCGTCTCCTTGTGCAGCTCTGAGCCACATCCGCTCTGCCTGCTGTTTTTACATTGCTTTGTGGTCTGACTACTTTTCACCGGGGAAAATAGAGGAAGTATACATTTGTCTCACAGTGTGGGGGGATCAGCACTGGGGAACTGGATCTATGTCCCAGAGAGCAAAGGGCAGCCTGAAAAAGAAAAAATTACTCTGTCAGAGCCTTAAGGCAGGACATCCAGAACATGCTCGTTTCTTCTTTCTTTCACAGTCATGAGCGTTGTGCACCATGAATATGTCCCCCACACTCAGACGATTGGCACAGAGTTCTACTGTAACATCCTGAGGCGTCAGAAGTAAAACATTCAGTCCAAACCACTGGAACTTGGATCAGATGGCGCCCTGAAAATGGCTTTCTCTTTCTAAATGCCTTAACTCAATTAAAAAAGAAAAATGGAAAAAAAAGCAGCCACGCTGGAGTAGCTTGCAGCGCTGCCTAAGGAGGCCATCTAGAAGAGCCAATTTCCCCGTTCTGTTTAATGCAGAACTAGCTTTAGAAAGAAATAAATGTGATCCAGTTGTAAGACAACATAACTCACTAGTGTACTCCTTTATTGTTAAAATAAAAAGCCAGCTGACGGCAAAGCATAACACATTTGAAAACATTTGGATGTTTAAATATTGATTTATAACACTGCAGAGTAGAAACCTTGCACACTATTGTTGTGTTCCCTAAAGCACAGTTTTACAGCTGAATCCCGATGATCCGGTCTTCCTCACACTCTTCTTATGTTATGTTTTGGTTTCCAGGCACTTAATTTAGGATTGTAATGTACTATGTTAGCTGATTCTAGACAAACAATGTACAAATTCTGGTCTTTGTGCACTCCTGTGAGTGGGGAAAAAATATCATTCAAGCATTTTTTGAGTTGGGTGAATTGAGAATGCCGGGATTCAGCTAAAATTCCCTTTTGTATTATTTGTTCTGCATTATGTTTGTGAAAGAGAGCCTAATATCTTTCAAGCGTCCCTTGATTAATATCTTAGCCAGTTGTTGTGCCTTGCATATTGTCTTCTTCAGCTATTGAAGGTGTACTTTAATTTATGGTTTGTATATTAACTGCCTCATTTATTTTATTTATTTGCCTATCCATTTTGGACAGGAGAATGTTACCAAGTAAATCTCAAGCTGTGTTTCTCTGTGAGTTGTATTTTTTTTTTTTCCTCCTTTTTAAAATTTATTGCCAGCCTTTGATGCTATTTTGGTAAGAAGCGACAGTTATATTAAGACGCCTTAAAGGAGCTCTGTCCTCAAAGAAGTTTTTGGCTTTCGTCAATGCCACCATGTAGTAAACAGTTATGTAACTGTAAGTTGAAAACACAGCGGACATGCTCTGAGCTGCGGTCTTGTCTGTGTCTGCGGAGGTTACATAAAATCAAAAAGGCAAGAAGCGAGCCACAATGTTTGAAGCCAGTCCATCCATTAAGAAAGAAGGGGCCTTATTCTGTATTATATGTGGATAGCAATCTATCAGTAGAAGGAAACATCTGTGTGAAAAACAGGTCACTGATTCCCTTTGAAGTATTTTTTTAAATCTCCCTGTGAGATTTCATGTAGTGGAAGAAAATCAATCATAGAGCATTTTATATGTAAGTGTTTAGTCCTTGTTCATTCAGTTTGTTTAACATCTGCACTGTCACCTTCCTTAAATGTCAAGTTTCTGAGGTGAGATGAGTTGGTTGGCGGGGAGTGTGCAAGTACCCCCCACGTGTTCACGCACTGTTGTAATTAGATGTGCCTGTGTATGCGTGTGTGCTGCATTTCGAGGTGTGATCCCAGCCTTTTTTGCTGCTCAGAGTACTCACTCTAAATTGAGTCCATGTGCAACATGTCTTCATTTGCTGAACCGCTCGGAACGAAGCATACGCCACATCAATAAAGATTTTCAGTGTTTCAAAGGCTCCAACTGGCATCGTTTTGTCACCCTGTTCACTTCACTTTACTCGTGCACCTGAGCAAACGCACAGTAGTCGATGAATTTGTTGCGTGCAGGTTTTTCTTTTGTTTTTTCGTCACTCTTAATACGTTATCGGAGGACCAGTGCGATAAAGACGGAGCACGCTGCAGCAGCAACGGTCCATACAGTTTGACTTCTTGCCTGCAGACTCTGCTTTCATGTTTAATTTGATTAACTTCACATGAGTTCTCTGAAGAGTTGTTGCATTAGACACAGCTTTCTCTCAGCCCTGCAGGTGGGATCCCATAGGTGCTACTGTTTTAATTATCTCCTCACAAGTCTGTCTCCATGGCAGCGCTCTACCTTTGAGGCCTTTGAGCTTGTGACCTGCTGTACACTGTTTTTACTTTTTAACACAAGAGCACAAAAAACATTTAGCTGTAACACTTCTGGATCACTTTAATGCTATAAGCTAACTAATGGTTTGAAGGGTTTGACACAATAGCACGCCAAAGTGGGGGTGTTGATATTATGGAAATAAGTCCTGTAGGCTGTGTTAGAGGATTGAAGTGCAGTGTGGGATTATGTCAGCTGTGCACTGCAGTGGAGAGAGGCTCGCTATCCTGAGGAAAATTTTTAAAAAAGAGATCAACATTTGGTCCAAGCAGCTTTAAAGCAAGACGATGTCGAGGCCTGTCATCCTTTTTTGGTTTGCAGCCCTTCTGTTTTGGTGCTTTGGTTTGGCGTTTGCCTATGAGAAAGAGACGCTACTCCAGGCTGTTTCATAGAGGTAAAAGCAGTACTTCTACTAGTTCTTCTGGGCAAATACAATTACACCTAAACATCAATACTACTTATCTGTCAGTCAGCAACATGCTGGTATACCTGCTGCTGATTGACTCCATTCAGTTTAGCAACTTTAGTTTATGTGAAATCTGAAATGTGGGAACAAGATTGTGGTTTGTTTGGTTTTTCTTTTTTTTAGGAATGGTTTGGGAAAGTTTCCTGAATGGGATCAGTAACTTCCTGAAGTCTCAGTAAGTACCAGGTAATAAAACATAAACACTCCTTAAACTCAACCTTTTGCACAAATGAATCAAACAAGATGTAATCTGTTACTTATTGACCTTTGTCTGTGGTTACAAAGGTCAGCGTCACTTAAGAATAAACTGAAACAAGCAAATTGCTCAAAATATAAAACTGTGTGAAACAGTTGTTTGTTGTCTATAAAGCGCTCCTTTGCTTTCCTGCTCGTGTCAGCAACGCCTCCTATTAGCCAAGGTTTTTAACAGTGATTTAACAGTCGGAGGCTCTCGAGGTGTTTCATTACAGCTGATGGATGTCGGTCAAGCGGAAGTGATGTCCAGTCTGGACCTGTGACCCTAACACAACCTGACATGGTGTCTGTTTCCGCTGCGTTTGTTCATCATCTCCCTCCAGCCCGGTCATAGTAAAGCATGTAACAACCACGCCTCGGCAGCTGCCGTGATCAAGGAGAGTGCCCTCGCCCCTCCTCTTTCTCCTGGCCTGGAAACAAGAGGCCTAAGGCGACAAGGTGCACATATGTTGTTTGTCATACTGATCTGAGGTCAGCTTAGCATCATGCAATAAATCTAGTTAAAACCCTCTGGTGTATTTGTCTCTTTTAGTCTCGTGACATTGTTTGAATAAGCTGGTCGCTTTTTACCTACACACAGCTTCATTTTCCTTTTCCATCAGCTCCTAATAGAGCCACACGTTTGCCCTTTTGTTAATTGAAGAAAGCTCTTGCTTTCTTCCTTCTCATTGTCACTACTGCAAAACAGCATCTCCTTTCTTTTGTGATGGTGTCTTGTTTAAATGCTGCGTTGATGGAGCTTTCATTCCCTAAGGTTATTCTTGGAAAGGTCTCTGCAAACCGGGTGCTTAACATTCACCATGCAAAATGATGTTTGTGAGCCTTTTAAACACTAAGTACCACTCTGACATTCATCTACAGAACGTCTGATAAACGTAAATGTGTTAAAAGATCACTTATGGTGGCAGCTTCATGTGGTCCAAGTTCAGTGTTTTAGCTAGTCTGGTCTCCACCCCCTTAAACCAGCGTTCTTTTGATTGGCTGACCTTTGTAAACAGAAGTTTGAGCAATAGATGGGTGAGTTTTTGAAGATGCCTGAAATAACAAAATTAGCTATTTTACCTCTGATTACTAATACAGGAGTTAACATAACTAGGATATAAACACCAGCAAAGAAACAGAGCATTTAAAGCAGTTCATGCAGGTAAAAATCTTCCTTAAGATTGAGCGTGACAATACCTGACAATAATATGACATAGAAAGGGTTTGTGCATTGGGTTCAGTAGTTAAACTGTTTATGTGAAAGCTATTTTGGGTTCAGTAATAGAGAAAATGTAAACCCTGATTTTTTTTTAAAATACATTTTTAGACAGTTTTCTAGAGAAAAGGGGGACACTGTCAAACAATTTCCTTTTCTTCTTACCAACGTTTTATGCATATACTCCTCAGGCTTTTAGCAGTAATAGTAATTATATATACAGCTTTATATATATATATATGCACATATATATCAATGATTTAATAGCTGCAGTTTCACTTTCCTGTGGTCGTGCAAATCGTTATTTGATTTCAGTCACAAGACAAATTATTCTCATATGACACAGTTATGTAACATGTGACTGATTTCACTTTAGATAATGTGATCATCTACCTTGGTGAGGGGGGGGGGGTTCAAGAGTCATGAGGTCAGATGCTGTGTCCTGACTCAGATGTAGCTTTCCTGCAATAACTGTCACCACAGATAAACTCCTTCATCAATAGGCCACCCGCTGCTCCTTTCATATATCACAAAGCCATAAGAGGCACTGGAAACACATTTGCCAAAGTCATCCTATAAACTAAGGCCAGTGTCACTGAGTTATACACTCTCTGTTGTCTTCCTGTACACAAGGCTTGCTATGTGATTGTGTGTGTGTGTGTCTGCTGTCTCCCCTGATGAATGGGCTTCCCATTTAGCACAGCGGCACACATACCTCAGCTTCTGGTTCTGCAAATCTGTCACATTAAGAAAACAGTGCGTGTCATCACCGTTTACATCATTATAGAGGTACTGGCTGCACGGAGGAAATCAAGTGGTTTTATTTTTGGTGCGATAGTGAGTGACGCTGGTCACAGCCAGCACGGAAACCTTTCAGCCAAACAGGCCTTTTCAGAGGGAGCTGGATCAAAATAGCACCGAGCGGCATTGTGTAATGTGTTCTTCTCTCTTTTGTACAATGTAACAACAGAGCTCGCAAATCAATACACCTCCCTCACATGCTGCTGAGAGAGCGCACGGGGTGGTTGGTCTTATTTCCACTTCATAGTTCACCACATGTGACTGTGTGAAGTGGTTTCAGTGAGAGCTGCAGCACACCAAAACTGTGGTAGACTGCGAGGCGAAGGCTTCTCTTTCTCTGAGAGAAGCCGGCAGTCCCTCTGATCACAAGCTGGACGGTTCACTCGGGTGATTCAAAGAGCCCAAATCTGATTAAACCCCAAGAACAAAGACTGACTCTAAACTGAGTCCTCTTTGCGCCGGCGCTGCTGTTACTTCTGTCGAACCTACGCCTTCATATCAATCAATAATTATACTTGCACTCCAAAGAGTTCATGTAAATCACTCTCTATATAAAACCCAGTGTAAGATGTTAGGAAAAAACTATCATTTATTTGAATCTATAGTATCCATTATGGCTCTAAATAAATAAAATATTGGTAACATACAGGATAATGTCAGTGAATAATTCTTTAGTTACATACATCTGTTATAAAACCATAGAAATTAATCATTTTAGGATGTTCATTTGTAACCTTGTGATATTGTTCCTCCTATCATACATATTATAGCTTTAATAAAAATCATCTAATTATGCTAAAGGTTAAGTCAAGGCCCAAAGATGTATGCCTGCCTTATATGTACACAACCAAATACAGAATACATTTACATGGTTATATGCACATACCTGAGCATAACTCAATAACGTAGGTCCTTCTACTTGGTGTCCTGGGTTTAATCCATGAAAGGAGACACGGCCTATGTGTTAAAAATGCAATAATGTAGTATTGATTTAAACTGGCTGAAGAATGGCAGTGATGTTAGGAGCTGTATGTCTGCAAGACATATGTAGGTCCTGCAAAACCAAAAGCATCTCTGGAGCCTCTTTCCTATTCATTTAACAATATATATGTAACACACA